GATCGACCCAAGTTGCCCTCTCAAGATGTTCTTATGAGATGTTCCTGCCCGGATACATATTCCACTTCTTTATTCGTACCTTCCAGCCGTCATTCTCGAAAGTCCTCAAGGCCTCACGCAATCTGACCTTGGAGAATCTGAGGGATCGACGAGTATCTGCAGTGGTCAAATCCATATCGATCGACAATGAAGGATCCGCTGGCCTTACCCCTTCATAGCGAACCAGGTGCCGAAGAACTGCCAAAATTCCCGCACTTTAGCCAGGCATTGACTAGTTCCTCCTCAGCCACAATTCCCAACCGAATTCCGACTGATCCACATTGACGATATGAGCAAGACCGAGTATCCATCTGGACTGCAGACTCGAACTGTTTTGCGAAGTATCTACTTTCCGGCCCCAATGCTCGGCCGCCTAGGCCCCGCCAAAGACCAGTTTTTCAATTTGCTACAACAAAAAGGGTTGCCAGCCGAAGTGGAGATCGTCTGCTTCGTACATCGTTCCAGGCCGAATCTCTTCGCGATCGTAGGGAACCCCTCCGCCCTTAAAGCTTATCAAGCCGCAGAGACACGAATCATCGCACGGATGAAGTCTACTCTCGGCTCTAGCTGGCGGCTGTTGCCTTTCGAAGTGTCGGGAGCGTGAAGGAAAAGTCTAGTCTATCAATCACTATCTTCGTGGATGCATTCACCCATGTGAATCGGTACCTCTCGACGAGCAGCTACGTATGGAGCTACCGATACCACATCCTGCCTCGTCATCTCTCCAAGTGGAATTTCTGCCGGGCAAGATCGGTATTTCATCTGGCCAAGTCTATGATTGCCCAGATGCGGATGGCATTTCGCCCGGAACGTCGATCGGAGTGTTATCTCAGAGAGGAGGAGGAACCCTCGGCCCGTTTTGTGGATTTGCACTACAATGGCAAGGTTGAGAAGTGTGCATTCAGCGGAATCGAAAACCACGCTGATAGGTGCGGACGGAAACGTCCTCATAACTGGGGCCATCTTGAAGCTGCCATCAGCTGGCTGATGAGCTGAGGACGTTTGCTTTTGCTGATGCCAATGCTTTTTGTATATTAATAACAATGAGAATTTCTACGTAGCAAATTCGGTATTCATCACTCTTGCAGGTAACTGTAGTAACATTTTTATTTCACCGCATGCACTCATCTACAGGTTAAACTTTTGCATTGTTCTAGCTATAGCACTAAAAGGGGAAGCATGCGAAAAAGATATCTAAAAGAAACATTCAAAAAGACCGTTTGAAAAAGGCACTTGTAAAACAACACATGAAAGGACGTCACATCATATAAAAGCCTCTAATTTTCCTTCTGTGGGTTTACTACCTTCCTTTCTATATATGTACATGTATATACATCGAAACACATCGAAACACCAAAACTCTGATTTTGATTGATATCTTTGGTATTTCCGTCTCCAGTGCATCTCGTCAAATGATACATACAACATGGCAAAGTGTATAGCTGGATACCTAATCATATCTCCTTCCCAGCCATAGGCACAGTTCAACCAATGCCATACGTCGCGCAGTTCGGAAAGGAACCCTCGCAATCGGATGCGGTGTATGGAACTGCAATGGACGATGGAGCGAACCACATACGAACATTCCGTTTACCCACAACACACCCCTGAATTCTCTCATAAACTCTGGATGACTTGTCTTCACGGCATCCTAGGTGGTTGTCGGTATGCTTTTCGCTGGCGGCGATGGCCACTCTATGTCTTTTCCACGCCTATGGATTCCACAACCGAGGGTGTGAACTGCGGGGTGGCCATCAACGCTTATCAAGCGACAGAGACACGAGACCTGCCGGTAAACAGGTGGGACTTCGGTTGTGGCCAGGGCTTTCTTTCCCTTTCTGTGTCGGAGGCTAAAGGAGAAGTCAACCCCATCGATCACTGTGTTCGAGGATTCGTCCAGCCTTGCAAATCGGTATCTCCACGACAAGCAGGTGCTCAATGTCCTTGTCCCATTGTCTCTCAAGGTATATATGCATTCCCAGATAACTACACCCTCACCTGCCTTCATCACCCATCTCCATTTCTCACGTCTCGCTCATTTCTCCTTTACTCTCGCCTTTTTCACGTACTGACTTACACTTCAGGGCTTTACCAATGTGGTATCCTATACGATGGTACTCAGCACCTGCGACAACGCTGACGAATACGGTTAGATCTTTGGGTGGGAGGGTCACCCGGATGTGCTTGGCTGGCTAGAGTCGGGACGCGGTTTATGCCTGGGTGAAGGCCTCTGCGTCCTATCAATCCAAACGCGTACCCTGCACTTTCTGCTGGATTGTCCGCATTCAGACCAGCTCAATCCTCTTAAATCTCTATCTGACTATCTGCGACTACAAGGTTCGATCCATCAACCAACGGCCCGGGTCCGTGAGGAGCCGCCATCTTCGAAGTACCTGCAGAACCGCATCACCTCGTATCAAGCTTCCTGGGGCTGACAAGAAGAAAGATCTTCACGGTGGTCAGCATTAGGTCTATTCAAGGCTCCTTAGCCAGACGATCTCAATTTCTTCATTTCTATCTCGGTATCGCTCGTGTCGTCAGCAATATCCGTGCCTGAGCGTCACCACCATTGTTTACCCACAGCACTTCCTGCGAATACTTTTTCCTTTTCTTTCAACTCAACCACTGACACCTCTAATCACACAAGGAGATCTCTCACTAGGGTGATGGATGAATTAGATCAAATGGCCCAGAATGATCGATAAAATTGATTTAAACCGTCAGTTATATCCTTGATATCCGACCTTTCTGTTATGGTCCAGCATCAAGTAAAGTTGGACTGTTTTGAGCCCTAGGCTTCCACCTTCAAGAGCGAGTCAAGTTTGTTGGGGACCTCGACGATTCATGTACGTTGACCCTCGGTGTGCTAGGCAAATCGAGGCCCATCTTAAGCTGCGACCCTTCGTCGATGGGGCCTACACGGATGACAGTGGGAAAGTTTTACCCAAGGAAATATCGACCTAAGGAGAAGATCCTGACGCCCAAGAGACAGAGATAGATGTCCTCCACGGTGTGTATAAAATCCATATGGACTTTACACCAAGGAAGCAAAAAGGACCATTCAACAAGTCATCGATAATACATTCCGAGAGCTTGAAACCGGCGAGCATGAAGGCCCTTTCTGGGATGATCTTAAAATGCCCAAGAACAACCCAATTGTCCAAGCATTTTTGCTCTCAGCTTCTTTGGCACACCTTGGTGACCCTTCGGACCATAAGCTCCGTTATCCAATCGATAAACGACAAACTTATGAAACGACCACCACCTTTCAGGAAGCGAAAAAGCCCCTGCCTAGAATACCCGTGGGGTCTTCTATTGGCCTCTGTATAGGCATGCCATGGTCGACCCCCTTCTCGACCCCACAAGTACGAGGACTGTCCGCGGTGAGACGAAAACAAAGGGCCGATATCTCTTGGATGCCAAAGGGAATTCCAAATGCCCGATCGGCCAAGTGGCCAACATTCGTTGACGAGTTTTCGCGGTCGGAGAGTCGTACAAAGCGCCAAAGAGACATTCAGTTCTGGATGTATTGCATTCCGTGGACACGAAGAGAATGCTTTTACTGTCCTTTTACTTTCTATATATGCAGTTCCTAGTAATCAAAACTTTGACCACTTATTATTGGTTGCTTTCTTATCTATTTCCGTTACATGATTTGTATCATTGTTGTTCTTTGGATAATAGGCATGCTCAAGTCGGTGGGCTGTCCAAATCGTAGGTGCTAATTATTCCAAAGGACCATCCAAAAACGAACATTGCATAAGAATCGTGTAGCTTTTCTAATATAGTCTTAAGTCGAATAGCTGACTATTAGCTTCTATTCCGCCTGTTATAATATAATATATGTGGACGAATCGCTAGCATGTATAATGGCAAACACTTAACGCTGCACTCGCGTACGTTGTGTCATTGCAACAGCGGTCGCTGTCTGTGGTGGCGGAAGTTAGTGCGAAAAGGCAATAAACGCAACAAGGATGAAGATTATCATGCCGGTCGTGGACAATATTATGTTAGTGGGTGTAGTTCATATTGGCAGACATCGCGAAAGACATGACCTGAAGGATTTAGGTAGACTTTGCATTTCCTTGCATTCAGTTTCAGTTTTAGTTTCAGCTTACTATCTTTTTACCTTGCTTTCTGATTGTTTGAGCTGAGGTAGGAGATATTTTGATACGTTACACGCATTTTCTCTGGTCTGCTTTTAGACACTGCCATGTCTGCCACAATCGTTGTATAAATCCAGATACTTTTATTCAAATCAGAACATGTCCACTTTCCTTCAGTATCTCGATATCTTTAGAGTAGAACACTAAAATTCTTATAAAGATATTGCGTAGAAAAGAACCATAGACTACCAAGTGGACAGGTTAGTCAGGGTCCAAGGACTCTATGGATATTTGGGGAGAAGGGGAAGCTTCAGCGAATACAAGCACCACGTTGCCTACTATGGCCAGCTGAAATATGTGGCAAATAATGAAAGATCGATTGGTAGGTATATTTTATGGAATGGAGGGCTACGCACAGGAATGAATAGATTCGGCAATTTCATAGAGACAGTGTTCCCTGTGTCGATTGAAGTGTGTGTAGGATGTCATTTTCAGGGAACTCTTGCTGCCTGGGTATTCACTGCAGAACTGAACAAGATGTGGCAAGTGGTAGTAACTTTGGCGGCTCTTAGATAGCATTGGTTGCCTCAACGTGTCTCCTGTATACTGGAGGGCTATACAGAAGATCTCATAACCAGTATGCTTGAAAGAAGTTACGCTGATTATCTGTTTACCTGAGAACATATTCGGTATTGGTGGCCCTGTACCAGGTTATGCCTCACTAGAAAGCTCTTTGTTTCATTCTTTGGAAGTGCTACACTCCACATCTTGCAATAAGGGAAAACAGGTTCATTGCATTAATCAAATTCAAATCTCTCGGGCCCCCGAAGTCGATGGCAGGCCAGGTCTATGCGGTCACCACCTGGACCAGTTCTCAAGGGCCTTGACAGCAAACGCTGTGCTGGCCCCTCTGTTTCCAACTTCCCTTTTAGCCCCAGGAAACAAATACATGCAGGAAGCTTCCCAGCCACCATCTTCCTGTTGTGTGTCAACGAGCTTCTGTCGATCGGCAAAGTTGGCAATCCCAAGGTAATCGCACGCCAATACCCGCATTGCAAGACAATAGGCGTCGCCGTTAGCCCCAACTCTCTCAGCCACACGTACGCGGAGAGGAGCTTCGATGATCTCTTTAAGGGTCGGATCACTTGACGCACGGAGCAGCCGGGTTAAATAGTAGAGGAACCACTCTGCGTTGGGATAGTAGCGCGTGCCTTGAATGTATGCCCGGTTGATAAGGATTTTGTAGATCCACTGCATTGTGCCAGGGATCTCATGGCCGCGTCCATATTTATAAAACAGGGTCAGAACATTCAGAGATATGACTGCGTCGACACGGGGCCTTGATTCGTCAAAGTATGCCTAAAAGCTAGCATTAGTTCTGGTAGTTATATGCTAGTTGAGTATACTCAACGGCATACCTGCACGTCACCATCTTCGTCGATAAAGCCAAGCATTTCGTCCAGAATGGAGTGGATTACAGTCAAATCCGGGGGCATTATCAACAAGCCGAGGGAAGTTGTGTCTAAGTCATCAGGGTAGAGGTCGCTCGTATATTTTGGCTCTCCTGGATCCGAATTAGTGACTCAAGCAGATACGCAGTGTGTTCTTATAGGCTAACCAGTGAAGAAGTTCCAGAGCCGAGGTGGGGCTTTGAGGTTGACAAGGCTCCTAGGGAACAAGAGTTAGCAAGCTATAAGTATCAATGCCATAATACGACCCACGGGTCCTTTAGCGCTTCCAGAATCAAGAGAGGAGCGTAGTTTTCAGCTATCTGCTCTCCGTATTGAGTGGTCGTAGGGAACTGCCCACCCTGGAGTCGTAAGAATGTCAGGCCTCGCTCCACGGGATCGCCGACAAAGTTGGTGATTGTTCTGTAGAGCTTCGTCGTGTCAAATGTTCCTTTCATTCCAACTGAAAGTGCAGCAAGCACGTTCTCTGGTCTGTCATCGACGAAGAAGGTCCGATTTGGCAGAGCCCTTGAGGCTCGGAGAACTTGGCGATAAAATCTCAAATTGGGCTTGCGGACACCTAGAGTAGACGATGTGAAGACGCCGTCAAAGATAGACCAAAATTCATTGTCCCATCTGTTGCGAAGTGCCGCGTAGTCTTCCTTGGAGATATTAGACACCAAGAAAATGCGCACTCCTAACCGTTTGACTTCCTTGAAAATGGAAACAGCCACATGATCATACGTAATAGTCTCACGAAAATTTTGGATCGTCGCCGCCAAGTCAGTCGCCTGGAAGTGGTATTCCTTTGCTAACTAGGAGAAACATTCTTCATCACGGAGCTTCCCGGCCTCGTAGTCCATCCACACGGAAGTGGACATGATTCTTCGCAAGGAGATCGTAGAGTCGCGCGTAACGAGTTTGCTTTCCGTTTCTGGATTCATGAAGATACCCCCAAGATCAACTAAGATAGTTGCCTCCTCGGCTTTTTTTCTCTCGGGTGGATGCATCGTTAGGTTGACTGGCGGCGGTTATAGGAATATGAGCAGTTCAGGATGGCTGGAAGGTATAACGATTGTAATGGCTTAAGATATTTAAGAGTGTTTGTCATTTTCAATTTGAATACTTCAAGGGTGAAGGACTATTTATGCCCCAATAAATTACTGAATTTGCTGAGCGCCTCTAGTGCTAGGATCTATGGCTTATTCGCGAGATACTTCACCGCTCTTTTGGCTAGACCAGTAACCGTCTTCAATTCGTATCAAATTCAAAATTGTAGATGGGCTGGCTGAGGGATGGGCTGGCTGAGGGGGCCTGCAGACTAATCAAGAACATCTCCTAAGTGGCCCATTACTACTCTGACGTGGTAGAGTAGCAGCAAAGGATAAAGTCTGTAAGCCACTGATCGGTGTAGATACAATTTTGAAGTCTAATTATTTGTTTATTTTGTTTATTTCTTTCTTTCGAAACTGCTTCTTGTATGTTGTACTTATGACTTCGAAGATCCTGACCAGCTAGATAGCCGACGCCGCCTTGTCATTATCCACAATGACGCCCGACAGCCTTTCCTACAGCATCTACCAGGTGGCGATTGTTGTCAGTATTTCAAAGCAGCACAGCGAGCACCTAACGCCCGACTAACGGATGGTAGACTCTCCTATTCGTGCTTCTGAGAATACTCTCTTATCGCTATATTCACCCTCTCAGCAAGTATCCTGGGCCATTCCTCTGGACTGTGTCTAGAATACCTTATGCGATGGCCTATGCCCAGGGCTACCTACATAAACGGATACAGCAGCTCCATCATCAGTATGGAGACGTTGTCTGTGTCGCTCCCGACGAACTGAGCTACCGTAACGAGCAAGCATGGAGAGACATCCACAGCCAACCACGTAACTTCCCCAAAGATATGCGATTCTATCACGCATCCAAGAGCAAGGCCCCCAGTGTCTTGGTCGCTCCAGATGGCGTTCACGGTCGGCAGAAGAGGGCCATTCTACGGGCCTTTTCAGCGCCCGCGTTAAAGTCGCACGAGCGTCTTCTGCGGCCTTTTGTCGACAAGTTAATTCAAAAACTCCAGCACGAGAGCAAAACGATGAGAGGTGGTATGTTGACCTGACAAACTGGTTTAATTACGTGATGTTCGACTTCATGGCGCTTGAGCTTTTTGACGAGTCGCTGGGCTGCCTTGACGATGGAACGTATCATCCTTGGGTAGATATGCTCTTTGGCTCGATCAAAGCGTGGGCATTCCTTAGCCTATCTGAATATTTCCCGGCTTTGTTCTGGATCATCACACCTGCAGTCCGCATTTTGCGCCGTGATCTACTCCGCCATCGGAACACAAAGTTTGCTTCCATCGCTTCCAAAGTCTCCGGGAAAAGGGAGCCCGAACCAGGTCGTCGTACTTTTGACACTTATATTCAGGAAAGCAAAAATCCTCAGTCCTCCCTCTTCATAGAGGAGATCTTGCCTAACTATAGTTTTATCATGATGGCGGGCAGCGAGACCACGGCCACCCTTTTATCCGGCTGCACGTTCTTCATTCTGAGACATCCAGATGTCTATAAGAAGCTCGCCGCCGAAATTCGACTCGGCTTCTCCTCTCCCTCGGAAATGACGTTCTCATCACTAGTTGGCATGTCATACCTACAAGCTACGCTTCAGGAAGCGTTGCGTATGTACCCGCCTCTGCCGCTAGGCATGCCGCGTGTAGTGCCGAGCGGGGGCGCCGTTGTTTCAGGGCACCTCGTGCCGGAAAACGTATGAAAGCTCACTGAATTCAGAGAAAGTGGGAAGCAAAGCTGATCAAGTCCCTAGACAACAGTGGCCGTTGCTTCATGGGCGACATACCAGTCTTCGTCCAACTTTAAAGATCCCCAATTGTTCTTTCCCGAGCGCTGGCTAAATACATTTCGAGGAACCGATAATATTGAAGGCGCTATGCAAGCCTTTTCATTGGGCCCGCGGGGGTGTCCGGGAAAGAGGTTAGTCACAACATTTTATGGACTATTCTAAGTGAGAGGCTGATGGAGCCCTACAGTCTGGCTTTGGCGGAGGCAAGCCTGGTTCTTGCACGATTGATTTGGACCTTCGACTTAGAACTGTCACCTCAATGCTTTAACTGGGCAGATCAACGAGCCTATATAATTTGGGACAAGGGGCCACTTCTGGTCAAACTAACGCCACGCCGTTGAGACGACAGACCTCGCGTCACAAGAGAGATGGGTATCGAGAAGAGAACCTTGAAAGCATGATCTGCCATCCAGCTTATGGTCGCATTTAGCAGTGATGTGAGAAGAGATTTGCTTGATGGCAACAGATGTGGTGGCTAGGTCAATGGGACTGGCACGGGCAGCGCTTGCGTACGAGTCGTGTGTAAAATGCGGTCCGACTTACAGTACCGTCCGGATGACAAGTGCACTGGAGCAGGGGCTGCTGTTCTCCGTGCACACGCACGCATATATCTGCCGTATTCCTCAACGGGCCTTATAGGCGTATAGCTTCTCCCTGAAGTGAGGGACGGAAATTGAGGGAGGGGACCCCGGTCGGAGATCCAAAGACTACTTCATTCGTTAACTGTACTGCTCAGTACTATTCATACGATGTATTAAAGACCGTTTCCATTCATCTTGAGGACTCAGCTGAACAGCTTAGCTGTGGGGATTGTATTATGTAGAGAGGCGGTCTTCGCCGGAGGCTGTACCGTCAGCTAAACCGCCCACCTATCTATAGCAGTGGTATATCATTACCACTTTTTCTAAACCCTGACAGGCAAGTAGACTCTGTTCGAAGCGTTACGCTTGTACCTAGTTCAAACTGAAAGAAGGGACTGCGCAGCGACATTCTTTCGGTAACATTGTCTTTTCAGTTCCGTATCTGCAAATTTATCCAACTTCTTGTTCACCGACAGGTCGTCCATCTACCCATAAAGCCCAAATAATCCCGCCTGAAAGAACCATCGTCATCACAGCCTGACTTCCAAAACTCTCCACGAAGCTGAAGGGCATCATCGCATTCTTGTTAACAGGCAACCTCAACGCTGTGTACGCAAACCACGGAACACACGCGTAGAGCCAGGCAAGTGCCCACAGGAAACCTAGGGTGTCCATTCGTCTCGAGTGAGTTGTTCCGCCTACCCGAACTCTATAAGCATCCTCCAACATGATCAAGAGGGGCACTGTGATAAAGAAAAGGAATATTGCTCCTAGGCTGTCAGGTACACCCGCATACACTGCACTTAGTAGGTGGAGAAAGCCAGATAAACAGAATATCAGGAAGAGATCTGTCATACTTTGTACGTGGCGAGAAACCGAGTTGCAGAGGCTGAGACGTTGCCGGATATACGTGCTAATGGTCACCAGGGGCCAGCGCAATAACTGATGCCAGTATTTTCTGTAAAAAAACAGACGGTAAGCAAATATAGTAAATGTATTGAAGACTTAATTTCCCTGAATTTAGAGAAAGAGGATTCTGGGACTCAACTTACCCCCAGAAACTTCGGATGCTGAACGTCCGGAGATGTCGCATGCTACCAAATAGCGGTGGCCAGTCTTTGGGAGAGTTGAAATTCAATAAAACAGAAACAGTGGCAAGAACTCCGTAGATCATAGCAAAAAGCAAGCGTAGGTTGGCCACTAAAATACATGAGAGCGGAATTCGGGCCATCAACTGCTCCTTTGTTGACTTAGGGTTAAGAAACTCCGCGCCTGCCGCTAATGTATCCGGCCAATTGTGGTGAAAATACTTCAATGCTCCAAAGTTCAGGAAGTCAAGTGCCAAATATTGCCAACTCAGAACAATTATGGCGTTTGCGATATATTGGCCCTTGGTAGGTTCTCGACAATGTGGCCAGGATATCACCTCCCAAGGCGTCCCTATTCCACGAGTACTAGTCACGCAGTTCAAGCCAGCACGCAGACTGGTCAAGAAGGAACCTGACACTGTTTGAACTAATTGGTGGATTTCCACCTGGAGGATTAAAAAGATGCTGATGAAATGGAGAAGTTTGACGATGCAGGAGAATGCAATGACTGCTCTCTGTAATTCTGGCCCCGGTAAAAAGGACAAGCAATGAATTTCAAAAACTGCCAAGATGAGGAGGGAAAGTATGCATAATTTCCGTGAGGTTGATTTACGGGCAGTGCAGGCAAGAGAAATGGAGGAGACTAGGTACTGAAAGAACAGAATGGTCGCCAATATCCAGAGGCACTCCATGGTAGTGCGGTTGAAATATTGCGTAGTCTCCTCGATTCACAGCAAAATAGAAAATCACTATATCAACTGCGCGGTGCTGTCTTCGTGTCTCAATTTATGTATCGTATGTCGCATCCTCAAGACGGGTATTCATTCTTCCCAGCCGGCCTATAGAATGCTGCAGCCCTTTGCAGAAAACAGTCCCTTACAGAATAAACTTCCTCGCAGAATAAAGTATAAACCAAATTGCGCGCCCAATTTCCTGCTGCGTCTGAAAATTTATCGAGAGTTTGTCGGAGCAACTGAAAAAATAAAACAGGATGGGATATTCATCCGACAGTTCCTGTCTTTCAGGTGGACAGCCGACTCCGTTATCGTCCAATGTTTCGTGCCAAGATGGATTTTACTGTATGACCTCTTTTCCCTTTGTACTTGCTTCTATGCACCGTGGTAACATGTTCCAGGTCCATCATACCACAAAGAACGCAAGCCGGTCTATTGTCCACCGTCGCCCGACTGCATCCTGACGCGGCTCCAGAGCAGTGGCAACTTGTGCGCTGTACCCCAAGGAGATCTCCAGCCGGTGGTGTGTCCGCCAGGGTTCTACTGTCTGCCTGGCAAAGAGCAGCAGATTCAGTGCCCACGTGGGTATTTTTGCCCTATAGGGACGGTGACACCATTCAAATGCACGACCATGTCAATATGCACGGCAGGCAGCTCTCACCAAACTCCACTCCTGGGAATGTTTCTTTGTCTGCTGCTTGACCTGTTGGTGATAGGGGGGTGTCTTCTTTTGCGATCTTCGTCTCTATCTAGAAGGTTGACGCGGTACCTCTGCTTAAACCAACCTCGTCCTCGTCCCCGATTCGATGAAAATGGCGCAAACTCTAATCCTCTTCCCTCGGAACAATTCCATGGGTATTTTACCAATGATGATGCCCCTTACTTCAGTCTGAATCTTACTTTCACCGACATTTGTCTCTATCCGCGAGGTTCGCGACGCAATATCCTATCTGGTCTGCGTGGAACGGTCCATTCCGGCTCCGTTCTGGGAATAATAGGAGCTTCCGGCTCTGGTAAATGTGAGAATTTCTAAGCCCCATAATAGGAACGGAATTTGACCATTTTTTGGGTATTGCAGCAAGCTTTGTTAACATCCTATCGGGCAGGACTCAGCCTACTCAGGGATGGATCTCTATAAACGGCTTTAAAAGTCAACCTGCACAGTGAATACCCCTTCTATCACCACAGAAGGTAGTCCAGATACTAACAGCACCGCCTCTTCTCTCTATCATGCAATAGGCTAAGGGATTTGATTGGATTTGTTTCCCAGCATAATACAGTTCTTCCCGATTTGACAGTACGCGAGAATATTCTATATTCCGGTCGGGTGCTACTTGGTGGGCAGCTGTCTGAACACGAGATTCAGGATTATGTCGATTTCCTGATTTATTCACTGGGACTAGAGAGTACATGCGATCGATTGGTCGGCGGCCTCCTGGAGGGAGAAGGACGATGTATATCCGGGGGCGAGTATAAGCGCGTGAGTATTGCCCTCGCTCTCGCTGCCGCACCAAAGGCTCTGATTCTAGACGAGCCAACTTCTGGTCTGGATGCAACAGCTGCGCATTCCCTAACGAAGCTTCTGCACTCGATCTCCCGCCAGGGGATTATGGTGATTTGCGTAATTCATCAGCCACGAATTGAGATATTTAATCTGCTAGATGATCTTCTCGTTCTCGAAGATGGGAAACAGGTATATCTTGGAAAAGCATCCAACGTGCAGCCGTTCTTCGAGAGATTAGGCCACAAGTTTCCTATCACATCAAATCCAGCAGATGTGATCCTTGATGTCTTATCAAGCCATATTTCTACCCTGCGCGAGGAAGACATCGCCTCACAGGTACCCATAGAAGACAGTTCGTGTTCCGTAAATGGAATGGCAGAAAGCCTAAACATGCTGCTTGGCACAGTCAAGCGAAGGAGAATGTCGTGGCTCCGTCAGTTTTGGCTCGCCTTTTCTCGAAGTATAGTACAACAAAGCCAACAGACGACAGGCCTTGCTTTGGAAATTGGATCGAGTGCAGTCACTGGGGTCATGATCGGATTAGCCGCCTTTGAATCCAGAGGCCACTTTTTCCAGGGGATATATCACCGTCCATTTGATCTCCTGCTGATTATAGACTGGTAGCTGAGCAGGGTCTTTTATGCTGTCTCGCGATAGGTCAGGCTTCGGTTCTTCTCTTCTCATCTCACTGTCGTTGGCTAACCTAGAGACATAATACAGCTTGTGCAGCTGGACCCCCGGGAGTTAAGATATTCGGGGAAGAAAAATTAACATTTTATCGAGAGTCTCAGTCAGGGCATTCTCGCAGCGCTTACTTCGTGGGGAAAAACCTGGCGGTTTGTTTCCGCATGTTGGTGTCGTCTTTGCACTTCACTGCATTTTATTTGGTTCTAGTGGCCCCCTTGATTCAGTTCCATTTGCAGTTTGGTCTTTGTTTCTTATACTTTTACTGTAAGTAGGCAGGCTTCCAACGTGCATCCTTCCGTATCGGTTAATCTTTATTTCAGGTATCTACGGGCTTGGATTTTGTATCAGCCGTCACGCCGCGAGAAGATGGACCATTGCTATGCATGTTACTGAGCCTCATCATCTCGGCCATGAGTGGGTGTGCGCCCCGGCTATCAACTGTGCGGAAGTGGCATCTGGCATGGTTTTGGTATTCGTGGCCAGCAGTAAGTCATGTCCTTTCTAAAGAAAAAACCTACGAGAATTCAAGCTAAACCCACTTGTCACCGTTCTCAGACTTGGTTTTCAGAGGCATTTTACCAGGAGAATACAGATCCACTGGCTTATCTCTACAACATACAGGACGCTGCGAGATTCACCGGTTACAGGACAGGTAGAACGGTGATGGATATGGGGTACGTTTATAAAAAGTGGCTAAAAGATTTCGCTGCAGTGACACTAACCTTCAACAGATTCCTTTTCTTGATTGGGACTCTATATAGAGCATTGTCTTATGTTCTTTTCGTTTTTTGGGGGTGGAGACCACAACGGTGATAATCTACAAGGCCTCCTCCAATTATTTATTGCTGAAATGTCATTTCATGCCGCTAGCCTAAAATTCTCTCATATGAATATAGGTTGAGGTAAACCGTCTAAAGGTGTGCAGGTGCTCTAATGGAGTAGGATTTGCCTAACAGGTTAACAAAATTTAGGGATTCGGATACAAGATATGTCGAGTTACAGGGAAAATCGCCCTTAAAAAGGTCCATCACTACCGGACCCTATTATTCTCTCTATCGATCGGAGCGGGAAGTCGCAGTATAGGCTCAGGGGAGCTGATAACGGATCTCGGGGCGGGGTGCTTAAACCGGGATATTGGGCTGAAATAGGTCCTGTCTTCGTTCTTGATGCTCTTATGGATTGCCTCATAGTCCTTTTGCCGGAATCGGCGTTCCCCATGGCGCAGACTCAAAGCCAAAGCCAGCAAATCGAGCACACTGTTAGATACTAGATTTAACGGTATTAAATCAATCCGAGCATTTCTGATAAAGTTGCACTTAATAGTTCTCATTCCATATATTTTGGAAAATATATATCTGATGTGGATGTTCTTCAATGCTCTGGAAGCGAAGTTATAGTCGGTAATTTTGCAATAAGGCGCAAAACGAGTGATGGTGAATGAACCATTTCGAGGATCATGCTGAACGTTTTTACACATCGTTGTATTGATACCGGTAATTAATACACCCATACCAAAAAAATTCAGTGAAAGTTATCACGCGCAAAGCTTCCACGCACTTTATATACCAACCTTCAAGATCCGAGGCGATCAAAAAGGAAGATGGAAGACCAGAACAATTTCCATGAGTTGTCCACCGAGCCACACGGCATTTTCTGGCAAGACAACTTTATCGATGCCGAACACGAGCAACGACTCATCTCGGTCTTTTCCAACGAGTTAGAATGGCCCGATCGCCCTGGCCGGATATCACTCCATTACGGCTATAGCTTCGACTATAAAACATTCGGGATAGATCCCGATATTCCATACAAGGAATTCCCAGAATGGCTCCAACCTCTGATCCCGACAACCGAGGGCCGAGCTCCAGACCAGGTCTGTCTGCAGTACTATCCTCCAGGCGCGGGCATCCCGCCCCATGTGGATGCGCACAAGCCATATGACCAGCTCTACGCATTATCCATTGGTGCACCGGCGATCATGATATTCCGCCGGGGCGAGGAACGCATCGAGGTCGACTTGACCCCGAGGAGCATGATGCAGATGAGCGGCGACTCGAGGCTGCATTGGACGCATGGTATTAGGAAGCGGAAGAACGATACCCTCCCGGACGGAACGGTGAGGCCGCGCGGGAAGCGGTGGAGTATCACTTATCGCTGGCTCAGGGATGGGGAATGTGAATGTGGGAATCTGGAACTGTGTGACACGGCACAGCGACGGAATGGAATTGAAAAAGAGAAGAGATCGGTGAAGGCATTGGCGGAGCAGACTGCGCTCGAGCAACCCGTTATATAGATCGAGTTCGGCTGGTTTGATGCCTTGGCAAGCTTGTTGTGCAAATAATATTAGAGCGAAATATGCCCGGGACTCGCATCAAAGCCAGGCAGGCGCATTGATGATGTTTGCTAAACGAAGACGTGTAGATTCCTTTTTTGCCTAGTCTTATGGCTTTCCATCACTGGAGTGTTCTTCTGGGACATTTATGCAGTCCAGGAGGGAAAGAGGCGCTGTTCATCCCGCTTTGCTAGGCGTGTGCCGATGTCAACTTTCGAAACAATATAGGTCCGCCTACACTTTTCACCTAGGCGGAGCGTGGCTATGAGTATGTTGCGAAAATGCGCACTTATGGAAATGAGAATACAGACACTGCCAACTAAGTATTTACCCACCCACACTTTTAGTGGGGGCCCTGGTCAATTGTAGATCACCACGAAACGGGGATCAGATCATCGAGATAAGACACACACCGGATGCCCGCTCCCAATCACATCACCATTCCATAGATCCCATGGTGACACCCCCCAAAAAATATCGTAACCAAATTAACCTAAATGTAGGGAATATTATCATACATTTCCATATCCTTCTAATGATGGAAAAATGTGGGTGTTGTGGGCTACACGTACTGCCCTGTTTTGTGGAACATCCTGCCTATTTTAAAATGTTCGAGCTGCCTTGAGATATGACCGACTCCCAAGACTGTTTCCTGCGTTCGCGATTTCCTACTTCTACTTAATTCAGACCCCTTGAGCCATCTTGCTGAGGCTAGACCTTCTTAATGCGGCGATTCTCGGCGCGGCAGTGGCCGTTTTTGTATTCACCTTGTACGCTCTACTCCAAAGCCCAAGTCGCGAACCTCCCTCAGTACCGAGCAAGATTCCTTTTGTGGGCCATCTCATCGGCCTCATCTGACATGGCCAAGATATTTTGGCGTCTTATGGCCAGTCACCGATTCTATTACATGTGCATTCTTCACTAACGCAACATATTCGGCGGTGAAAGACACCCAGAGTACTCAATCTTCTCAGTCAGCATATTCTCCTTCAAGCTGTTTGTGACCTCCTCACCTACCATCATGCAGGCCGCTCAGAAGCACCCCACATCCGTTGCATTAGAACCGTCGTTGAATTTTACGCAGAAGCGTCTATGTCAAACTCCACGCGATATACTAGGGAATCTGTGTGATCAAGGCCATGATCCCAACCCCCTTTCCAGAATCGTGCATAATACGGCTCCCCTCCTTGCGGGCAAATCCCTTGACAGAATGAACGGGATAATGCTGCGGCAGCTACTACCCATCATCAATGACATGGGCAACGACGAGACTGTTGATCTGAACACATGGCTTCGACAAACCGTTACCATTATCGATACAAATGCTACATACGGCAATTTGAACCCATTCAAAAATCCACACATTGGAAATACATTCTGGTGGGTTCATCCGACCTAAATTGGCCATTGGATTCCTCAAATATCTCGGCAGGGAACTTGAGCGCAACATGGCGCTACTAGTATCCAACATAGTGCCATGGATACTCGCCCCCAAGATCTGGAAGGCACGCAAGATTCTGTGTGGTGCGTTCAAAGATTACTTCGACCTTGGGGGCCATGAAGACGGCTCGGAGCTGCTAGCCATGAGGTACAGATCATTTCTGGGGGCTGGGCTTACTCACGAAGAAATAGCATACGGAGATGCCGTTGACTGTAGGACTCCTGGCAAAGACGGCTCCTGCTGCATTCTGGGCCCACTTTGAGCTTTTCTCGAGACCGAAGCTGCTTGAAGAGGTACGTGAAGAGGTAGAGCAAAACGCCCTCAAGGTTGCACCAGACGGCACGCACATGATTGATTTGGGGTACCTTCGCGATAATTGTCCACTCCTATCAATTACCAGGAGTACTACGGACAAGGACAACAATGGTAACGATCCGGTTTGTTACCCAGAATGTTGTTCTCGCAAATACTTTCTCAAATCCGGAACTATGCTCTTCATGCCTGCGAAGCAACTAGGCCGAGATGAAAGCGCTTGGGGAAATTCCGCTGGTGAGTTCAACGGACGAAGGTCCATGAGATCCACTACAGCAACCGAGAATAAGGGCGACATGAGAAAGGATCCCCGGCGTACTGGCGGATTCATGGCATTCGGTGTTTCTCCATCAATTTGTGCAGGGCGTCACGGGCGTCACTTTGCTACCAGTGAAATCTTGGCACTGGTAGCCATGATTGCCTTGCGATATGACATTGCTCCAGCTGATCGGCTGTGGCGCGCACCGCAGAGGATGAATTCGGCAACCACATCCAACATGAGTCCAATTGATGGGACTTTCCCCGTCACTGTGAAAAAGAGAAGAAAGTATGAAGGGAAATCGTGGCAGTTTGAAATTACTGAAGGCAAAGGATAGTTTGGTCTGGCTGTGGTTAAAATTGGGGCCACAAAGCTGAACTCACTGGGGGGAGCGGAAGAGTGATGAGTGTTCACAAGGGTGCCCAGGTGATTGATTTAGGTAGGGGCAATGTTGGACGGCCGGGGTCGCAAGGATTGCAGGATGGAGGCGGTCTACCTCAATATACTGCGGGGGTTATATCGGTACGAAAATTACCTAGGTAGTCAAAAGCAGGTTAAGGTGCTTCCAGCGGAAAATCCCGACTAGTTATATCGGCTTCGCACTTACTGATATAGTACGTATGGTTTCGCATTTTCCTAACTACAGGGTCCGGTCGTACGTTTCAATTTGGGTTTGTTCTTAAATTGGCCCATCTTTTGTAGGACAACAACAGATCTCGAGTCTGAAAAGACTTCCTTGATGAGTTCGTACATTTGGCGGGTAAATCACCTGCGAGCAGAGAGAACTGAATATGTGCCATCCACAAGTCTTACATATCCGTTCCTTCCCTCAACTAATACCATACACCACTCTTTACATGAAGGCCGCAATAAGACAACCAACAAAGGCACCAGATACCAGTCCATTACCCGCATTAATCGTAGCAACACCATTAAATAGGGGAGACGAGGAAGGAATACTAGCAGTCTACGCCAAGTTAGCTATGAGTCCACTGGTAAGTAGAAGAGAAACCAACCGAGCTTCCAGTAGGTGTTGCCGAAGGGATTAATGACGATGGCCGAGAAGAACCAGGAACATGTGGGGGGCTCACGGAAGTTGAGGCGACCGCAGTACCAGCAGAGGTTGCAGTATCAGTAGTCACAGCGGAACTGACGCTCTCTTCTGCAGTCTTGGTAGCGCTAACACTATCGGATGTAGTGGTAGCGCTAACAGATGTAGCAGTGGAAGACGCTTCGACTGGGGTGGCGTCTAATCCACATGCAGTAGCAGCCTTCGACACAGAACCCCCATAATACTTCCAAATGTCGAACTCAACGGCACACTTCAAACAATCGGTCAACTCGGTCTTGAAGTCGTCGGTATCACAGTATCCGTCAGTACGGCCGGCGGTAATTACGCCACCTGGTCTGTCAGTTTCGGTCATGGTGTGCACGACCAGAGGATGTGGGACATACCGCAGTTCGCGTGGCACTCGTACGCAGGAGTTCCTGGTTCCTGGCGCTTGTGCAGAGGGACGAAGTCCGGGAATTCGAATGCGCCGGCACAGATTACAGCGCAGGCAAAAGCAGCAAGGTTGACAAGATGCATGATGGTATGTGGAATTGTGGAAACTGAGGATCAGAGCCCAAAGTGATGGCAGTTCAGTGTCTACTTATTCAGCCGTGAATCCGAAAACAACAAATGTCTTGGCTGGATGGTCCTTTCGGAAGGAGAACTATCTAAGGTGGTACGAGCCCTCGGAGAACAGGGAAATTTCCGGGTGAGATTACCCGTTAAGGAAATGTCTCAGCTGGATTCAGGATGTTAAGTGAGTATGCGGAAGCGAACCAACGAAAAATAACTAAAACAGCCCTAGAAGACCCACCCATCTTATCTGATTGATCTAATCTGATCCAGATCCTCAGCCATTTCATGTGCGCTCTTTATCCGCGGGTTCTCCGGCTTCAATAAATTAATTCTTTGTCACTGACAAGCCATCGAACTATAATTTGTACCTTGGCTGTTAGCTCGTGACTCAACCTCAATAGGTCCCTAATAGTGGTCCAACCTCGGTGAGAACATTCCGGGCCATGACGTCCAGGAAACTCCGCTTGCCATGTGCTTGGCAGTTTGTAAAGTCCTCGGCGGTTTAGTCGGTTCAAGCCGACCAACATCCATTTTACAGCCTTGGTCAAGGGTGACTAGAAGTTTATAAAGGGTGGTGTCTCAGTTTTTTCCTTTGTCATCTAAGACCTTTTACAAACATATTCTTCCTATCATACCATTGTCTATAATTATGAAGAACTACATCGCACTATTCGCTCTCTCTGCCATTGGAGGACTATGTGCTCACGGCGACGAAGCGAGCACAGAAATGGGCCCAGCTGCCTTTATGTGGCCGCCCGATCGTCTCTGGGGTGCAGCGTATGACAACAACGCCCCTTGTGGCTCATCAACCGGGCCCATGAATCGAACAGATTTCCCACTGAGTAAGAGCATATCTACCCTTTAATTCCGAAAGGCACTGACAAGACGCTCTAGTCAACGGCAAACTTGCACTTGTAATTCAAGACGAGTCATGGAATGTACAGGTAGCAATCTCTCACAAAAGCAGTAAGTTAGGTGCATCATTCCCATTATCCAGACTAACTCTCTATTAGACCCAACTACCAATAATGACTTTGAGGCCTTCATTGACAGCTCAACGCTTTCTGACGTTGACCCAGGACATGAGTGCTACTCCGTCCCCAACCCATCTGTCGACGTGGAAGAAGGAATGAATGCCACCTTCCAGATCAAATACACCTCCGATTTTGATACCGACAAAAACGAAACCTACTACGCGTGTGCAGACGTCACATATATCCCGGCGAGCAAGTTCACCTACCAAGTCCCTTGCTTCAATGTAACATCGGACGAGTTCACCGAGGTCACTACCACAACCACAGCTGGGTCTAACCCTACTGCAGGGTCGGTCGCAACACAAAACACAGATACCACGAGCGAAAAAGGCTCCGGTCTTTCGGGAGGAGCAATTGCTGGTATTGTGGTTGGCTCAGTGGCTGGGTTGGGTCTTGGTGTTGCCTTGCTGTTCTTCTATAGAAGGCTTTTGCAGAAGTATCGCTTCTTGCGCCAAAAGGCTTCCACCCGGAATGTGGACTGGAATGAAGAGGCTCCTCAACATAAAGTCGACGATGAGGTTCCGATTGGGCTTCGCAAGATAAGATGATTCGGTTATGGGCTTGCCTTCTAGATGCTAACTAGGGGCTGGAGGGGAAGTGTGCAGCTGTGCATGGGTTAGTTCCAGTAATGATTTAATGTTCTTACGTTGATATGGCTTTTGAAGGTCTATTTTTGGTGATATATCTCTGTTCGTGTCCTAATAGTCAAGAATCCGAGGTACGTCTTAATGCATGGAGCATAAGTCTAACACCTCTGGAGACCCACCCACCACACCGCCCGTATCAAGGCTCTACCGCCTACCAAGCCGCTCATCGAGTTTCGATTTAAGGTACCCAGAATATCTTAAGCACCTATTAAAAATCTGTTTTAGATTCTCTGGGGTAATAGTTCAGTCACAATAGTCGTAATTTTGGGGCAGCAAGTATACTATAATAGCTACCTGGCTAATCTTAGCAGATATTTCAGACTCATGTTTTGGCTTTTCCGTTGGCATAATACGGCCGGTAACGATTTCTATGACTTTTTTTCTGTTTTACTCGTTCGACAGCCATTACCCATGGGGGGTATTCAAGTCTACAGGTACAGACAACAGATGTATGCATTTCGAGTACATGCCCAGTTCTTATCTATAGAAATCAAACAACATATGATAGAACGGGTATAATAACCAGGAGAATAAATTCGAAATTGATGGTGAGAACACTAATGAGAGTCTAGCCTAGACGAAATATAGGATCTATAAAAATTTCATTCACATCTGTGCAACTTAGGATAAGAGTCAAGTTTGATAGACTTAAGATCTGCCAAATAGCATAACCCTAAAGATTTCAACATACCGAACTATGCTGGGCTGGAAAAATGGAGCTAATTGTGCGAATTTGATCTATATTGTTGGAATTCATGAGGTAGCTATTCATCTCCACCATATTTCTCACTGGAAACTTGCTCGCTCCAGATTCGTTGAGCTGGCAGTATTCTCAGGCTACCATTGTTGAGCTTCAAAGGCCTCGATGACATCGGGGCAGCTCGATTGGGCCTTGGCTGATTGTCGAGCCAAATATTCAGACTCTGTCAATCGTGCTTTGATAAGCTGCTTCCGAGTCTTGGAATGGATCGCCGAATGCAAACTTTTGGCTAAGCCCTGTCCCGGATAGGCTACTAAACCCAAAGCACCTGGAAACTATCCATTAGCATAATCCCACTAGTCACGTGAGATACAGTGCCTGACAAACCTGATGCAGCTTTCGTCCCCATGCCAATAGGTCCTTTGACAAGTCCTTTCATTGCGCCCCTAATACCATCTTTCTGGGCACCCTCGTAGGGCTGTCGGAAGATATCAGTGAGCCCATGTGAGAACCCATGGGCAAAGTTATCTGAAGCCGCCGAAACTCCAGACTTAAAGTCCCGGATGTTGTCGTAATCTTTCACCTCTTCGCCATAGAGCCTGGGAACAGCTCTCAGGCCTTCATTTACTGCTCCAGGTATGTCTACCAAAACGCCCTTGTAGTAGTAAGCAATGATCCTCCCCACGCTTTTGGCGGATCCCTCCACTGCCTTCCCCGTAACTCTCCAGTCTTCATCTGTCTGGTTGGTTCCGGAAGCACGTGAACTTTCGGAAGGACTTCGCTCGGGTTGAGGATTTCTGGACTCAATGACTACAAGCTCTGGCTCGCTCTGTTGGCGGGCACGACTGAACTCTTTGTAGGGCCGAATGACGACGTCGCTTGATGCTGTGAGAATATCCTTGTACATGCCTAGTAAAGACGATGTGCCGCCCGTAATAGGATCCCATCGCCGAGTCTGAATGAAGATCGATTTGCTCTCGTATCTAGTTCAGCATATGTGTTAGTATAGATATATATGCAAACAAATAGCCTTGTTGGGATATAGCTCTCACGTTTTCAGGTCCTTCGTATCAATGCGAGAATTTTCAAGCAAGATCCCTGCTGCCATTTTGGACAGATTCATAGGGGACTTCGCATTTTGTTTTAACTGCCATGCAGCCGGCTCAGAATCAAGAAACTGGCATTTCATTTTATCGACGGGTAAGTTGCGATGGAAAGATGCAACAGCCGCTGAAACTCCAGCTTCCTCACTCATTTCACGAGCAAGATCACCAGCTGCTGCTAGGGTATCAGGATGCAGGCAAAAACGTATGGCTTCCGCTAGATTATCTGCGTTCAAAGACCGGCGTGGTATGGGCATTGGTCCAATCCCGCGGGATGCAACCATGTTCCCCCAGAATAGCTGACTGTGACGAGTTAGCGGTGAAATGGAATATGTATGCAGGGAATGACGTACTCTCCAAAAAATGGTACAATGAGCGAGGGCCTTCCGAATCGTAGACCACATGCTGTAGTTCCAGCTCCTCCATGATGTACAACTGCAGCGACCTTCTGAAATAGCCATTCATGCGGACAGTCTCCAAGATAGAAGATCTGATCGTCCGATTGTGCTTCACCGAGATTACTCCAGCCACGGGATATGATTGCACGACCACCCCAAGACCTGACTGCATTGACAAGCGTGGCAGTCATGGCTGGGGGGTCTTCAATTACGATGCTTCCGAAGCCGATATACACCGGGGGAGGCCCGCTTCGGAGAAATGCGTCAAGGTCTTGCGGTGGTGTGAAGTCTGGAGGAGAGCGAAAGAAAAAGCCACACACGTTGAGATGTGCCGGCCAGTCTGCTGGTTTAGGCATTAATGTAGGGGACCAACAATACGTGAAGGGTATCTTCAAAGTCTCTGCTAAACGCGGACCTTCGGTGGCTGATATAGGTTCTAGGTCGATGGTCTTTCTCCAATCGTTGATAACATCGCCTAGGCTATTGTGAGGTTAGCGTATTGAATCAGCGATCCGTAGGAGGGTAGGTATCTACCCTTGCCATGTGAGCCATTCGACAATCCCGTAAGAAAGATAATTAGCCATTTTCGGCTCTGTGGTTGAATATTTCAAGTTTGCCAAGGGATGGGGGAAGGATCTTGTGCTGGTCCACGGCATGGTAAACATCATATGTAGAGGGATGCCAAGCGCCTGAGCACAGTGGATATGGGCGAAGCTTGGAGGGTTCGCAATAATAGCATCGGCCACGAATGGCGTCTTAGTCAAGGTGTCATCCGCAATACAGGACTCCCAGCATCCCTGTAATATTTTGCCCACCATGACACGCTTGCGTTGAATATCACCCTCTTTGACAGACTTCATCTGTGGTATCAGTCCTGGATTCTTCACCATGTATGCCATCAGCTCCGAGGGATCTCCTCCAATAGAATAAAATTCTAGACCGGAGTCGCGCACGAAGCTTTCAAATACGCCATGTGTGGCCAGTCGTACGCGGTGCCCATGGCGCTGAAGCTCGTTGCCTAGTGCGACAAAGGGCTGGACGTCGCCCCGACTGCCAACAACTTGGATGACGATGTTGAGCTCAAGACCACATCCAAAATCACCTGACGGCTCTGGCTGTGGTCGGATATGTTCTTCCGTATGCAGAAATGGTATCAACTTTGATACTTCCCGGCCCACCTTGGAGTCCAGGTCGATCTCAATTCGACCATCATCTTGCAAAATTAGCACGTTATTCTTGCAGAGCCTGAGACGTAAAGTCTCTCTCACCTTGTACTCTTGTCCCATCCTGAGTAAATTGGTTGCGTTCAAGCGTAGAAGGCCGGCGTGGTGGTTCTTCCATCGCTGCAGCCCGATGACATCACACGCGGGGCGAACAGAGATATTGCCGACGTAGAACACTTCGTCAAACAGCTGGATGCGAGTAAAATATTTCCAATTGCCCGTCAAACATCCAATGTTTTCAAAAATGAAAGGAGTATATGAAGAGATGTTGTGGTCCCAAAACAACTGAAGACCATCATCCATGGTAGCTATGATGGTTCTGGGCGGTGGATCCCCGGGGTTCAGCCACATGATTATTGGTCTGAGCCAATCACAGAGCATCGTATAGAAGCCATATGACGACATTCCTATAGGGGAGTAACTTCAATCTTTCTTGCAGCTACAACTCAGATTTCAATTATTGAGGTGATATCAATATACTGGTCTTGAAACAAGTAGATATTCATCTTGACCAAACAAGGGATAAAGTGACTCGGGCATAAACTTATTGTGTGTCGCGTCACCGTGTTCATATTGCACTGATTTATCTTTAAACGTAGGCAAAACGGGGTCATAGGCTGTTTGCAACAGATCATTATAGCCTTCCTCGGTGAAAATTGGCCAAGGGAACCTTTGAAGAAATCTATGTTACCTAGGTAGGTCATAAAACCAACTACTAGAATGATGGACTCGAGTTACTAACTCCACTAACAATTTCTATTCATTCTTTGGATATTACAGGTTGTGCCTTGGTTTAGCGGGCTTTTTTCCATGCTTTTACTCGTTTTCGTTATTTTTCCTCGCTTTTTTTATTTCTCCCATAGAACCACAGCTCCAGAAATACCCAAACATGGCACTTTTCAAAATGATGATGGCTTGGGCCACTCGCATCAAAGTGAGGTCAGTGGGGATGCGAAAATCAGGAATGGAGAGCCAAAAAGTCAGGGTCATTGTTGAGAACATCCCACACCGACCTACCCAGGGTCAAATTCACATCGACGGCGCACGGAAGATTGCCACTAGCCAAAGAGCGTCTGTCAGGTTGGCCTCGAGGTAATTCCTCCTCGGTAGACATAATAATTGCCAAGCCATCGACCCGGTAGCCTTCGCTGAAGGCCGGCGACACGAGAGACGGGGCAATGCGCTTGCCATTGGCAGCGATGTCAAAGTCAACTCCAACGTATGTCTTACCTCTACTCCACTGGGTAGCGACGAGACAACCGTCTGGAACCATCTCCTTGAACCTGATGTGACTTTTGTTGGGCTGTGCAGCAACCCATTCAAACTCCTGTTTGACTTCGTTCATATCAACGGAGTGAATTGCATCGTGTATAACCTGTGCAACCTGCCAGAGTGCGCCCTTTTCGAGCAGCTCATGTGAGGCGGAAGTCCAGGGGCAGTGGACGGCATTTGGAAAGTAACGTGCGGGCAGCTTCAGACGGGTTGAGTCACGCATATCCATGGTCGTCCAGAAACCACGAAGTGGCTGTAGCGAGTCGTCGTCTAGGGTGATTCCCTTGTCACGCAGAACCTGAATTCTGGCTTGATAAATGCGTTGGTAGAGATAGGCTGAGATGACCACGAATCTGGTGAACGAGGTCTGCCCCTGGGCGTTTGGGTCGGTTGCAGCATTTTTGAGCGCGATCAGATCTTGACCTTGGAAGCGCAGAGGGCAAGTGTAGACAGATGGAGGGGCTGAGGCCTCAGGCACGGCCGTGATGTTCTCATCCAGGCAAAAGTCCGGAGGGTTGAACGCCAGGGCTTTCTCTTTCTGGTTGGCCGATGGACTGTTTGTTCCTCGAAAGTGTGAGTAAATTTCGGGGGGAGAGATTAGTGTTGGTGGAGAAGAGTCGCGCAACTGTCTGTAGATCTCAGCGAGATCGCGCACGAGCTGCATGAACCCAGTGGCATCACAGACTTGATGATGAACTCGAATGCCCAGTGCGACCCCTCCACAGCCGAATCGGGTGTGCTGAATTCCGAAGATAGGGTTATGGGAGACAGCTCCCATTGTCGAATGAAAAATTGGAAGAAGTGCATTGCCAGAATCTGGCAGATGGATCACCAAGATACGGGCTGAAAGAGCAGACGCCGCGATACTTGCGAGCCTTCTGGGGCACTGTGCCTCCCAAAGCTCAGCGCCAGCGGCCAGGTTTCCAATTTCCGGAGCTTGGCTCACTGGATTCTGCTGCAGACGACCAGTCAAATGCGGGTAATAGTCTAGGAGGTGAGATGCAGCCAAGTTCAAGCGTTCAACCGGAAGGAAGTTGTCATCTGGCAGTTTTGCTGGCTTCCTGTAGACAAGGATGGCTTCGATAGTCAACATGGCGGGCACGGTATGGTCCATTGGCCCTAGGCTGAAAGGGGACTTAAGTGCAGCGACTGTTGCCTCATTGGCGCAGTTAAGCGTGTGCCGCGTAGAAACGCGGACTTGGTCGAGTACCATCGCTGTAGGAGCAGATGCAGGTATAGCGGGATAATCAAGATGGATAAAGCTTGATAAGGATGAAAGACAACGAGGATCCAAAATA